AAATTCAGGTATAAATACGGAGAAATTAATAAGGTTGCTTAGTGAAGCATTCAAATATAGCATACCGGGCAACTCACCAACTATGTCAGCTTACAAAATGGCAAAAATAATTCGCGCAGCATACCATAAAAGTACTCCGACTGTCCGTTGTGATGAAGACTTCCAGATGCCGTACTGGTGGAACGAAGATATCCAAACAAACATTTTAGAAGTAAAAAAAAAGAGAAGAAGGTTTCAACGAGAAACAAGAAACGATGATCTTCGCGAGCTCTATAAACGTACCTTTTTGCTTCTTTGTAGGTACAAAGAAGCAAAGCAGGATCTGTCTCAAAAGATCAGAATTGCAAAAATAAGTTCATGGGAAAAACTGTGCGATGACTTACAAGAAAATGTTTACGGTCAAGCATACAAGATAATAAGATCCCAGCTGAAAAAAAATGCCACCCAGAGTTCAAATGGACCCAGAAGAAAAAATCAAACAGTTTAAGGCTCTATTTGTATATGAGAGACAAACCTGGACTCAACCAAATAATATACAAACTGTGATAAGAGAATGTGATATTTTTTGTGATTCAGATATAATAAATGCTGCCAAAGATATAAAAATTAACAAATTTCCGGGCTGTGATAATTTGCCACCACATATAAAAACGGTAATATTGGACAATGTAGAATATTTTAGAACATTTTTCAATAACTTTCTTCAGAGAAATGAATTCCCTAAAGAATGGAAGAGATCCAAATTAACCCTAATAGAGAAACCACGGAAGCACCTAAATGATCCACCAAAATATCGTCCGATTTGCCTCATTGATGTAATCGGGAAAGTCTATGAGAAACTCATCAATACGCGACTCTTGGAAGAAATTAGGAAGAAACGAAATGGTATGCATCCAAACCAGTATGGATTTGTAAAGGGGAAATCCACCACACATGCAATAAAGAAAATATCGGATATCGTGAAAAGAAAAGCCACTTGGCATAATGCTTTGATTTTAGTCGACGTTAAAAATGCATTTAATTGCGCGTCATGGGAAATAATTATTAAAGAACTTAGAAGATGGGGCATAAGTGGCTATTTGATGAACATAAGAAGCTATCTTGATAATAGATTTATAGTTCTCAATAGAGAAGATGAAAGAGAGGTATTCGGTGGCGTCCCACAGGGCTCGGTGGTGGGGCCAACTCTGTGGAACATATTATACGACAGTGTCATGGAGCTTACTGTACCAGGTGGGACAGAGTTGATCTGTTACCCCGATGATCTTGCTGTGATAATAACAAAAAAAACTAAAAGAAACAAAAAAATAAACGACCTAGACCTAATGCAGACTGTGGATGATATACTAAAGATCATAGCCAGATGGATGCGTGAGCACAGACTCGAAATAGCTGTGGAAAAAAACAGAGGCGATTTTACTGAGCCGCAAGAGAAAAGTTGACCATATAAGGTTTAATTTTAAGGATATAATAATAAATCCAGTAAAGCAAGTCAACTATCTTGGATTCCACATAGACCGTGCACTCACGATGGGCCTGCACATCAAGGAGGTGTGTCTGAAATCACAACGAACTGCTAAAGCGTTGTCCGCAATACTGCCAAACGTTCGGGGCCCAACACCAGCAAAGAGAAGAGTGTTAGCATATGCGTGCCAGAATATTATTATGTATGGAGCACCTGTGTGGAACGAAGCAATCAATATGCACGTAAATAAAAAAAGACTTGAAGGTGCACAGAGAGTCATGGCTTTGAGGGTCTGCTCGGCGTATCGGACAACTTCAACTGAGGCAGCCTTGGTGATATCGGGTCTGGTGCCCTTGCATCTTCTCTCAAGAGAAAGAGAACGACTCTTTCTCAAGGGTGAAGTACAAACCAGGCACGCAGAGAGATGGAAATATACTAGAGGGAAAATACAGCGAAGAGCAGGGGTAATGACAAAAAAGGAACAGTCCGGCGTCTACTTGAGGAGATGCGTCCAGGTAGACGTGGCAGGAGCGAGGGTGTGACGTTTAGTGGGTAGTGTCCTCCAGGCAACTTAAGGAGAGATTGAGTCACACACCTGTACAAAAAAAAAAAAAAAAAAAAAAAAAAAAAAAAAAAAAAAAAAAAAAAAAAAAAAAAAAAAGGTAATATACAAAACGTACGAATTCAGAAGCGATTTGCCTGGCTGCTTTTTTTCCAGTTCAGCGGTTTCTAAAGATACTTACTCTGAACTAAACGCATATTTAAATATAGCAAAAAATTGACTTACCTGTTTTTTCCCCTGACCCTTCATATGAAAAAAATATGTTCTTTATTTCCTACCTTAGCTTTATTCATATTTCAGATACAGGGTCGCTGTTATGTATGGAAACGGTCGATTATTAGGTAAAATATAGGAGGTACTGCAAAAAGTTAAACACAAAAGTTATAGGGTTTTTAAATATCTATTAGCGAGTAATAAATTTAAGTATACAGGGTCGGTCATAAAGTCGTGGCAGATAAAAGTTTCATTTTAAATAGAACCCCTGTATATTACCTGCTTATTTTAATTCTTCCTTCAATTCTAAGCAAAAATCGAAATTACACAATGTACCTCAAACCAACCGTGTCCGTGTTATTGACTTTTGAACATATCACTTAAACAATTTGAATTAATTAATTTCGATATGTTCAGTTTCATTTAATGATGCCATTCTGCCGAAACTGTGATACTGTTGTAAAGAGTTTTTAAATGCTTATTAACTACTAGTAAATTTAAGTATACAGGGTCTGTCATAAAGTTCTGGCACATCAAACTTTATTTTTTTTAAATAGAACTCCCTACATATTATTGCATATTTCAATTCTTCCTTCAATTTTAAGCAATAATGGTAATACACAATGTACATCAATTGAAATGTTAAACGAAGATTTTGTAATTTCCAGACTTGATATAATATCATTTTATACATCTATAAATGCTTCACTTTAAGTCAATAACTCGGAAACGGTTGGTTTGAGGCACATTGTGTATTTCGATATTTGCTTAGAATTGAAGGAAGAATTGAAATAAGCAGTAATATACAGGGGTTCTATTTAAAAAAAATAAAACTATTATGTGCCACGACTTTATGACCGACCCTGTATATTTAAACGTATTACTCGCTAATAGATATTTAAAAATCCTATAACTTTTGTATTTAACTTTTTACGGTATCTCCTATATTTTACCTAATAATCGACCGCTTCCATACATAATAGCGACCCTGTATAACTAACAAAATAAAACACATAATAGGTATACAGGGTGCTACAAATTCGAGGTACGAGCATTGGTATCTCGGTAACCGTAATAGATACGAACATGGTTAAATTGGGGCAAAGTTACGCTTTGGGATGTTTACCAAGATGCCATCAAAAAAGTTTTAATAATTTCAAGTATTGCTAAGTTTTTTGGAAAAACCGATTTTTTTGAGATTGAATTTTATTTTTTCCTGTCGTTACTTTTAAGAAAATCAAAAAACTAATTGCACATTCTCATAGCCACTTTATACGGGCTATCTGATAGTATTTTTAGATTTTCAAATTAACTGATAATTTGTGAGATACAGAGGCCAACTTAATTTTTTTTAAATAGGGAGCTGGATTTTTTATTTCAGATGTTGATAGAACTTGGTCTCCTGAGTACAATGATATGTCACACTTAATATTTTTTTTTGTTTCGGAGATTTGAACATAATTTATTTACAAGTCCGGCTCTGTTTTTTTTAATCAAAAATTAAATATTTAATCTATTCATCGTTACAATATTGATAAGCTTTCAAATTTAACAATGACGTGGGGTAAAACATTGAATATGGAAAATCAAATGCAATAAAATAATAAAAAATAATATACAAATGAATACATTACTTACTTCACGTCATTTGTAAAAGTGATATCAATACATCACAACATTTACAATAAAGAGTACAAAATGCATTCGGAAGTATAAGAAGAAAGTTCAAAGAGCTATAAATAAAATTAAACGAAAAATAAATGTGTGCAACAGGGAGGGTGGTAACCCTTTCGAACATGTAGAGCATTAGAAACTAGTTTGTAGAAGTTGATTTATTCATAATAACTTCGATTAATATTACGCCTATTATTAGATGGCACACTTGAATGAGATTTCAAATTCACAATAAAAAAAAGTAAAAAATAATATCTTTAAACTTCTGACCTGGATATAATTTACTTGAATCTTCCAATTGGCTCGATTTTCCTTATTCAATGTTAATTAGCGCTGATCAATATTGTTCCGATGAATATAATCAGATTAAATAATTTAAAAAATCAGAGTCGGTCTTGAAATTATTTTAAATTATAATGAAATACTTTTGTTGTTATTAAGGTACCCAAAACAAAAAAAAAAAGTATAAAGTGTAGCATATCATTGTACTCAGGAGACCGAGTTCTTTCAAAACCGGAAATAAAAAATACAGATCGGTATTTGAAAAAATTAAGTTAGCCTCTGTATCTCACAAATTATCTGCTAATTTGAAAATCTAAAAATACTATCAGATAGCCCTAATAAAGTGGCTATGAAAATATGCAATTAGTTTTTTGATTTTCTTAAAACTAACGACAGGAAAAAAATCAAATTAATTTTCAAAAAATTCGTTTTTTCCAAAAAACTCAGCAATCCTTGAAATTTTTAAAACTTTTTTGATGGCATCTTGGTGTGAACATCCCAAAGCGCAACTTTGCCCCAATTTAACCATGTTCGTATCTATTACGGTTACCGAGATACCAATGCTGGTACCTCGAATTTGTAGCACCCTGTATAGCTTCGTTCACGTATTATACTAATAATACATTAAACATTAATTTATTTAAACATTCAACGTTACATAAACACAATTTTTTTTTTCAAATAAAAAAATGTTTTTTCTAGTTCAACTATAACAACAATATAACAACTCATAAACGGCAAAAATAAGTTTTACTGTTTTTTTAAATAATTTAATTTAATTAATTATATTAAAATAAATACTGATTTAATAATAAACTAATATGATGTATTTATTACGAGTATAAACTGCTGTCTTTTTTCAAAATCAAAATATTAAATTTAAATTATTGAAAATAAAATTTACTATTGTGGTGTAATATGCGTGTTACTGTCCTCAGAAAATTCTATAATTTCTTCGTCTTCGAAGTGAACAGTTTCACTGGTTAAAGTATCATGAGATACAACAATATGTTTCAGTATTCTTGTTGACGAATTGCTATCACCAAAGTTTTGAACTATAGTGTCAGGATCCTCAGAGAGTTTACAAGTTTTTCTAACTATTTCATTGAATATTTTGGGCTCATCTGAATACAAATGGTGACCAGCACGTGGAATAATCTACAAAATATATACAAAACTAAAAAAATCTCATTTAATAGAACTACAGTGAAATTAAGTTTGAATCTCTATATTTATTTGAAAAGGTATCGGATTCATCAAAATGTAGAGATACACTTGAAAATTATATAGATGATTTTCTAGCTCCCCTCCCCCTTGTACGTCGATTTTTTTGAGAATTTCTTTTGAGAGATGTTGTCGCCCTCGTTTATTTTAAATAGTCTTATAATGTCCATCTTACATCCATTTATGGGGGGGGGGATAATAAAATAATCTATATAAATTTCAAATGTATCTATGCGTGAGGCCCCATTTTCACACATAACTCAACAAAAAAAACTGAAAATAAAATCTACATAATTAGTTTACTATCTCTTTTTATGTTAAATTAATGTAAATTTGAAATATAGTACAGTTGTATTTATTAAAGACAGGAAAAATTATTTTTTATTTGGACTTGACAGTGCATCCTTTGCTACAAGGTGGTCCGAACTGTATTCCGGAAACTTTGGCAGCACATTCTGCAGATAAAAATAAGTCAAAAAGTTCGTATGTAATGTGTTTAGTAATGTATGTCCTAAAATGCTTACTTTTTGGAGATACAGGGTGTAGAAGTTTCATTTTTATTTCGATTTTTTCTAAATAATTTCTGACGTAAAGTCAATATTTGAATGAAAGTTGGTGTCGGAGAGTTTTTTGACATGAGAAATTTGATTTTAACGTCAATATGACTACAAGCCTCTACAAATGTAGAGGCGCCACCTACATGTAGTTTAACTGTTTTGAAGAATAATAACTTTTTGTCCGTACCTGTATAAAACTACTAAGTGAAAAAATATACATTTCTGTGTTCTTTTACGTAATAAATGTCTTTTTACGACGTAAAAATGTGGTAAAAATCGCTACAAGCAACCGTTCTCAAGATATTTAAGGCACAAACATAGTGAGGCATCTCGATGCGATGCTCGCCAAGATGCTGCCCGCGCTGCTCGCCAGGATGGTAGCCGCGATGCATCCTACGCGCACTGTTTTAAAACGGCGAGTAAGTGCGCGTAGGATGCATCGCGACTATCGTACAAACATAGTGTTTGGTTAGCATTTCATCTGGATGCGATGCGCGCCATTCACCTCGCCATCCGGCGATGCTGAATCAAACATGTACAAATTTATGCGTCAAAACATACTGGAGCCTCGCACCTCGTCACGCACCTAGATGTTCAGCGCGATGCTTCCTAGGAAACAAAATTTTTCTTTTTTGCGAGAAGCGGACGCGGATGCCTGAAACTTTACATTTGATTGGTCGGTTAAGGATCACAATTCGTTGAGCATATGTCGACTCTAGTCGGGTGGAATAAAATGTTCACAATACTAATATTTAATTTATCACCAACAATGTAATAACCTTTATTCTACAGGGTCCGGCAATAGTGCGTCGGGCATCTGCAGTTCTAATAATAAAAAACTTATGAATTTTGTAGTTCAGACATAAAGTATGTATTAGGATGTATTTGAGGAAAATATTTGAACTTCTAAAGGGTGGCTCAAAAAAGTGTGAGTGGATCGCGATAATTTTTTTAATGGAACACCTATATACGGGGTGGCGCAACTCATTCGCCTCGGTTGATTATACGAAAACGGAAATATGTAGAAACAAAATATTTTATGGGCATATGTGGGAAGACCATGTGCATAATTTAAAATAATTTTGAAATGTACAGGGTATGTCAGAACTAAGATTTACACCAAAATTATATTTTTTCTTATGGAACACCCGGTATTTTATTTCATATTTGGATCCTTGGACACAAAATAGGGCATGTATTATAAGGGTTATTATATATTAATATGTTTACAAGCTTTGGTTTTTGAGATATTTAAAGATATTTAAATATGCATGCTACAATGGAATAGATTATCAACACCCTGTACATTACTTTTTAGAATTAATTCTTGTGCTGAGTTTAAAGAGAGAGAAATAAACTTTACTGAAAAATTGTATTGCTGCCTTAAATTTATACAGGGGTACCAAAAATTGATGATTTATTTTAAATATTAATTTTACATAAAAACTTTGTTATTTCAAATACGGCAACCTATTTTTTTAAATAAATCGAAACAGATTCAAATGCTCTTTCAAACTACATATATTAGGATGTTCTATACCAGTGATTCCCAAAGTGGTCCAGGTGGACCCCCAGGGGTCCACGGGAGACTTGCTGGGGGTCTACGTAGGCGTGAACAAAAAATGGGGGTCCATAAGATGTTAATGGGGGTCCACGAAAATTTATCTGCTTTTGATAGTAAAGAGCAAAAATGTAAGCATAGTTTTTATAAGGGCCTACCTACATTGTTTTAAGTACCTATCTAAGCAGATAATATTTTAATAAGGCAAGCGACTGTTACTTGTCCAAACTTGCGTAGGTATTCGATATTACGTACAATTTCGTGTACAGACTTGCAAAGCGCTATCCGCCCGACAATGCTTAATGCTTGTTCAGACATGAACTTGATCACCACTATAAATACTTGATGCCAAAGGCAAACGCATTCATTTGTTTCCGGAATTTCGAAAAAAAGGCGGAATTTGGAAAAAAAGTTGTGAGAAAATTTATATCTGTGTTTGCTAGTGCCGGAGAAAAGTAAGTAACCTACCTTTTTTTGTTATAGTACTTAAGTATTTTGTTTACGTGTACTAGTCGGTTGATCACAACGGCCTGTATAGATAGGTAACTTAGTAACTTACAGATATTTTAATTGTCCTCTTTCGATTTGAAGACAAACACAGCACGTTTTATTCAATTGTTTTTTCACGAGAGAAACACTGCCTCTCTAAAAAGGCCGAATAAGCAATATTGCAGAGCAATTAATTTTGTAATTTTTCTTGCAAATAACTACTAATTTTATAAAACAGTAATTTCATAATCATTTTAAATTGGTTTTGAAGTAACTATTTTATCAAAACTATTCCTTTTCGGAAAGAGCGAGCAGTGCGCGGGCGACGGGAAAAGGGCGGGGCTTGGACTTCGATGCCAGTTTGTCACGTTTTAACAATGAAGCCGCAGACAAAAAATACGCAAATACACGGAGCGCGTGAACTCATTGATTTAATAAAATGTTAGTTATCGTTTTTATGGACAATTTTGGGATTTCGACTTTTATTTTTTCCTACACAAATATGATCAGTATTCGATACTGAGTACACCAATTTTTATTTATACTATTAAAAATTAGTGGTAAATTATGTACTTTAAAATTGATACCGTTTTGTGAAAACGTCTGTATGGTCCCTTACAAGCCGTAATTCTATTTCCGCGTGCTGACAAAGGCTGCGGTGTGATACCTATATTCAGAAAAAAACTTGGTTACTAAAACATTTTTTTTACAGGTAAGGTAACTGACACGAAACATGGCTACAGCAAAGAAAAAATGTCGACAATATAGTATCGATTATTTGAAATATGGTTTTGTTCCATCAGAGGCAGACAAACAATTGCCCATGTGCCTATTATGCAACAAAGTTTTGAGCAATGACTCTATGAAACCATCAAAGCTCGAAGATCATCTAAAAAGGTGTCATACTGATAAAATAGGTAAAGATTTAAAATATTTTCAAACATTGAAAGAAAAATATGGAAAGAGACCCACCATGCACAGTATGTTCGCTTCAACATCTCAAAGTAACGATGATGGCTTGCGGGCATCTTACAATATCTCATTACTTATAGCAAAATCTGGAAAACCGCACACTATCGGAGAACAATTAATTTTACCCGCTGTTGAAGAGGTTTTAAAAACTGTTTTGCACAAATCTCCATTTGACGTACTAAAAAGAATTCCATTAAGTAACAATACTGTACAAAGACGCATTGATGAAATGAGCTCTGATATCGAAAGCTTTTTGTGCAATCATCTGCAAAAAACTCATTTTTCTATACAACTGGACGAGTCAACGTTACCCAGTAATGAAGCATTACTATTGGCATATGTCCGATTTATTGTTGAGGAAGAAATTCACGAAGAATTGCTATTTGCCAGAACTTTGGAGACTGACACTAAAGGCGAATCAATATTTAATGTCCTGAGTAATTTTTTTACGGAAAAATCGATCCCATTTACAAACATTATTTCAGTGGCAACAGACGGAGCTCCTGCAATGGTCGGGCGATATCGTGGGTTTATAAGTCATCTCAAAAGAATTATACCAGGACTTACAGCTATTCATTGCGTAATCCACCGACAACATCTTGTGGCAAAACATTTAAGTGACAGGTTGAACCAATCTCTTCATTTTGTAATAAAAGCTGTCAACAAAATCAGAAGCAATGCATTGAATACGCGTTTATTTGCTCAATTGTGCGACGAAAATGATGAAGACTTCCAACGACTGCTCTTACATACTGAAGTACGCTGGTTGTCGAAAGGTGCATGCTTAACGAGATTTTACTCTGTTTTCGATTCCATATTAGAGTTCTTAGAAAGTAGAGATCCAGATTTAAAAGAAAACTTGATCAAATTCAAAGCAGACATTGCGTATTTGACAGATTTGTTTAAAAAATTTAATGATATTAACTTGCAGTTACAAGGGGACAGCCTGAATTTAATAAAAACAAAGGGGATAATTTCGGCTTTTCTTGGGAAATTGAAATTTATGAAGCAAAACATTAGTCGGCGCGAATTCTCTCAATTTCCAAACTTGTCGCAGGTAGAATGTATTGATGAGGATATCCATACCTACAGTCAACATTTAAGTGCTCTGCATGATGACTTCAAAACCAGGTTTGAAGATATACTGACGATGGATATACCACCATGGATCATAAATCCATTTGATGAAACGGAAGTGGCCAATGTTGTATTACAAGAGGAGCTGCTCGAGCTAAGCACTAATGAGGAGCTGAAGGTGAAATTTAGAAAAGGCTACCCAACATTTTGGCTGCAAGCAGAAATACCCGAAAAATATCCTGGACTGTGGGAAATCGCAAGGAAATTTTTAATAGCTTTTCCCTCGTCATACCTTGTCGAAAGGAGTTTTAGTGCCGTTACAAACCTCTTAACAAAAAAAAGGGAGCAAATTAAACATCACAGAGCGGGGGATTTGCGGTTATTGCTCACAAAAAATAAAGCCAAACATTGATCGTTTGCTGACACTCCATCAGATACATCCTTCCCATTAATTAAAATTATGACCTGAACCTATATTACCTTAATATTTTTCTTGTAATTCTATTCTTTTAATAAATAAAGTGATATAAAATGTACCATTTTTCGTTTTTATTTTACATATCGGAATATAGGGACAGAACTCAGAAGTGACACAATTTTTATTTTTTGGCGACTTTAAGAATGTGGTAGAAATGTAGCAGCAGGGGGTCCACCGAAACCAGTAAAATTTTGAAAGTGGCCCACGAGAAAAATAAGTTTGGGAACTACTGTTCTATACCTATCTAGCTCAGATTTTGAATAAAGAGCAATTTTTCAATAAAACGGCAACAAAGAGGGCTGATGTCGTCATGGCAAGTTTCTAGTGACAGTAGCTATTTTCAAAATCGAAATTAGTTTATAGACTTTATTTATTTATAGCAAGTACTTTAATCCCTAGTTGATTAAAAAAAGTATACCATTAATATTGCAAATTATATTTTATCCTCTCATAGTATATGTCTTTTTAATTTTTTGATTATGTAACGAGCACTTTGTTTACTCACTTGTTTCGTCGAACTGCTTAAGACCATTTTTAGAAACTAATGAAAGAAACTATGAAGCTATAAAATTTTGTTTCGGGAGAGTTGCATATCCGGGAAAGTTGAGTTATTGAATGTAATTGCACCCAACAACGCCCTAATTGCGTTCTCCTTTATGCGTTAACATTTTTTCGGCAATTTTATTAACTTTTTAAATTGTCACAACACAGCACGACGCCGACGCCTAGTTCGAATTCTTTTTCATTTATTTTTTACTACCCGAAACAGCGTTACATTACACAAACCTGGTACCTGAGTGTTTTATCTCGTCTCAATAACTGCACTAGCAAAAAAACAAAATACTTAAATATTATAACAAAACCACGATTTCAATATTATTCTATGCGATCAACATGACGGCGACGTGAAATAGATAGGGATAATTTCTGATTTTTGCCTGTAGGGATGTTTGTTGTCGCTGCGGTAGGAATTTGTTGAAATCATCTGAAATGCACCAAGCCGATACTAATTAATAACTACTATTACATAAACTGGTGCTTAATGGCGATGGTAAATGTTTCAGTATGCCTACGCGCACCTATTCGCCGTTTTAAAACAGTGCGCGTAGGATGCATCGCGGCTACCATCCTGGCGAGCAGCGCTGCCAGCATCTTGGCGAGCATCGCATCGAGATGCCTCACTATGTTTGTGCCCTATGTGAACAGTCAATACATGTCATTGTTGACAAAAAATAAACGTGTTGTGTAGTATGTGTATAATAGACAGTTATTTGACTAAAATTATAAATTTGGGAACTTTTTATTTTTTTAAATTAATCATAAATTTTTCTTCGAAAAAATGATGATAAAACAGTTTCTGTTAAACATTTGGCACCAAAACATTTGAAATTTATGATTTCAGTCTAATAACTATTTAGTCAACATGTTTAATTTATGTCAATGACGACAGGTATTGATAATTTCGATTCCAAATAACTGGAGAACCATAACTCGTATCGATTTTTACAAAGAGACTTTTTGTACGTAAAAACGTCGTAAATGTATATTTTTTACCCGGTAGTTTTATACAGGTACGGAAGAAAAGTTATTACTCTTCAAACAAGTTAAAAAATATGTAGGTGGCGCCCTCTACAAGTAAGAATCATTTTGACATAAAAAATCAAATTTCTCATGTCAAAAAAAACCCCAGACACCAACTTTCATCCAAATATTGACGCTACTTCAGAAATTATTTGGAAAACATCGAAAATAAAAATGAAACTTCAACACCCAGTATCTCCGAAACTAAGCATTTTGGTACATACATTTATACGAACTTTTTTACATATTTTTATCTGCAGAATATGCTGCCGAAGTTTCCGGAATACAGTTCGGACCACCCTGTATAAATTTATAGAAAATATTTATTATTTGCAAATTAAACTTTTTCAAGTTGGTAACTGCCTCTAAGAAAAGCACAGCGCTATCGATACACCTCCTTAAAATGTGTACAATCTTTTTTTATTTTATGAACTTACCTCAATATTAACATATTTTTTTTTGTCTTTTAATACATATCCAGGATCTTTTGTAATCCAAGATTTCTCACCATAGACTACAGTAATTGGAATATGATCGTGAAGCTTGTCATATCTGGTAATCATTGGATTCTTTGCATATCCAAATCCTTTTAAGAACGTATGGAAAGCACTTTCGCCACTACAATACATAAAATAATTCAAGGCTATTATTTAAACGTTATTTAACTTTTCTCCTATATTTAACTAACCTAACTAACTTTCTCCTATATTTAACTTCTAACCCCACGACTTTTAAGTGAATCTCTACATTTTAGGAGCATTTAGAAAAATCAATAGTAGTTTTTTAGTAAATTTTATTTTATTATAAACTAACTTGATTTTATCCCACAACAAAAATGTAATTTAAAATATTGATGGTACAGATTGTTTTGTAAATGTTAGAAAAAATTAGCTGATAAGAACTATAGCTGAGTGGTATGCATCCAATAATACAGGTTGACGCAATTCCCGGTTGAACTGAATTGATCAATTAGTTCAAGCGCAGCCTACGTGATATTTTAATACCACTAGATTGTTTTGACAAGTGCCTCAAAAACACGTGACTCCAGTGGTCCCCGATTTATCTCCTGTATGTATACCGGATCGGCATTTCTGGCCTTGGATGCTGATTTTCATGTATACGAAGAGTACGGTCAATCCGCTCAGTACAATAAGATGTACCACCTACTGCATAAAAAAGAAGAGCAAGAATTTTCCAAGCGCATGAAATCTGGCATCGAATTAAGTGGTTATGTAATGATATACGATTCAACATGTAAACAGCGACCCAAGACTTGGCTTGCCGATAGGGTAATAGTTATTTTTATATACAATGTGCTACAAATTCGGGATACGAGCATTGGTACCTAGGAAACCGTAATAGGTAAATTTGTCAAGGCTACCTGATAGTATTTTTGGATTTTCACATTAGCTCATAATTTGTGAGATAAATAAGTAAAGTTAATGTTTTTTAAAATACGGACCTGCATTTTTTATTTCATTTGTTTCGGCCACTTAAACACAATTTATTAACTAATTTATTATTACTTAATTATACTTCTATTGTACTGTGCAAAGCTCTGGTTTTTCTTTGAAGAAAGGGCTTTGACTTTTTTTATTGGCGTTGTGATTTCTTAGGTGCAGATGTCTTAATTATGTATGTAATTATTAATGAATATAATTATGTATGTAATTAATTACTAATTCCTCTTCTGAGTGGTAGATCATGAGCTCGGCGTTCGCTGGTGAAGCCGCCACGGCTGGTTATTAATTGTCAAAATCTCCAGTTACGATTATAGTAAGTCGATGCAATCCACACTTAGTATAGAAGAAAGTATTACAGCAATAGTTAATGGGCCCCACGTTTTTATTTTAGTCTAATATGCCTAAAAGCTATATATTCTGCCTAGTACTAAAATATTTCTGACTGATTCAAAATACCTAATTGTTATTATTATTTTCTAGTTTTCAGTGCACATAAGATAAAACCGTTTAACTTAAAAAGTTTTTTTACCGATTTTTTATTTTCTAGTTTTTAGTATTTAACGGAAATGCCTACCGAATATTCCTCATTCTATTTAATTCATTTAGTGCATCATTGTGTTTCTGACGCTAACAACTCTCTTTGTCTGTCACGTTGTGATGCTACCCCAGTAGCACACCAACATTGGTAAAATAATATATTTACATATTGGCCCAATAAAGAAAAGGCGAGATTTTTTTTAATGGTAAAATATAGCATTCATATATTTATCCTTTGTTAAAAATCGATATTGATCCAATATGGATATTTAATATTTATCCTATATTTGCTATATTTATAGACATAATGTGTTTTTTTTCAATAATGGTCCAACACATAATTTACATATATTTTTCCATTTTGTTTCGCAAATCTTGGACCAATATTTAGTCTGCATTGAATCTATGTACATACCACATAATCAAGATTCGGAATAGGAAACTCCCTGGAAACATTTTATTGTCACTTGATATCAAAATATCAAGATAGTTCGAAAAAGTCAATACATTTTATGCAGAAGTTATTGTATGTTTTATATACAGTGGAACACATTATTTTCAGATAGGAATGATATATATATATATATATATATATATATATATATATATATATATGCTCTTCAACATAATAATATATGTAATATGTATATGTATGCTACAAAGAATCCGAGAGGCGCATGTTTATGGGCCTCCACAAGGCCTGATTCTTTCCCCATTTGGCTCAGGCTCTCTATCTCCAGCCGGTGCCGAAGGGGATGCTTATGGGAGGACCGTATGTATGTATATGTATATGTATATATATATGTATATATGTAATAATAATATATATAACTAATAATAACAATAGCCAATAATAATAATAATATGTATATGTATGTATGTATGTAACAATAATAATAATATGTATATGTATAATAATAATAGCCAATAATAATAACTAATAATAACCAATAATAATATGTATATGTATGTATATATGTATGTATGTATATGTAATATGTGTAATATATATGTATATGTAATAATAGCCTAGCTAACTGTATGTAATAATAATAATAATTGTAATGTGTCAGCTGACAGCAATAATGTGGCCAATAATAATGTGTATGTATGTATGTATGTAACTGTAACAATATCAGCAATAATAATATGTGTATGTAATAATGTATGTAATGTGTATGTGGCAATGCAATAGCTTCAACAACCAGCATGTATGTAATGTGGCCAATAATGTCTTCAGCCAATAACCAGCTGTATATGTATGTAATGGCCAATGGCCAATGTGTAATAATAACAATAGCCAACGTAGCCAACCAGTATGTGTGTGTATGTGTATGTGGCAGCATGTGGCAATAACAACATACATTACAATACATATATATATATATATATATATATATACGGGTTCTCTATGGGCATCTCGCTGGCACTGCTGAGATAGAGAGTCGGTTAAATGAAGCATTGCAGTTTTGTGAGGTCATAAGCATGCAGCTCATTTTACCAATATATATATATATATATAAGTATATATATATATATATATATATATATATATATATATATGCTCATATATATATATATATATATATATATATATCATTCTCATTCGAAAATAATGTTCCACACTATACTACAATGTGCTGCATGTAAAATACTCTTTCAGGCTATCTGATATTTTGATATCAATGACAATAAAATGTTTCAGTAAGCCTTTATTCGAATCTTAGACTCGCTGTATGTACGCTGGAATTCAATGTTTTGAACTAATTGGTCCAAGATTTGCGAAACAAAATATATGGTAAATTATGTTGGACCAGTAATGAAAAAACACATTATCTATAAATACGCTAAATATAGGATAAATATTTAAATATCCATATTGGATCAATATCGATTTTAACAAAGGATAAATATATGAATGCTATATTTACCATTAAAAAAATCTCGCCTTTTCTTTATTAAACATTATGTAAATATATTATTTTACCAATGTTGGTGTGTTACTGGGGTAGCATCACAACGTGACAGACAAAGAGAGTTGTTAGCGTACAGAAATTAATAATGAATATAACTACCATGAATTGGGGAATGAACCAATATCATGTAGGCATTACCAATGTTATTGACTGCTGAGGTAAAATCCTGGCATGTTAACGTCGAGAAGTTAAATGGTTTAAACCAATGATAGGCAGTATTCGGCATTCCGTTAAATACTAAAAACAAAAATAGGTATTTTGAACTTCTAGTTACGGAAATATTTTGTACTCAGCTGAAAATAATAATAGCTAGTTGTGACCGTATTTTGAACTAACTGGAGCGCTGGGAAAACTGGGCCCAGTAACTATTGCAGGAAATACTGGGGTGTCTTCTGTGAACAAAACGTGGATTGCATCGACCTGCTATAATCGTAACTGGAGATTTTTGGACGATTGTAACCAGCAAGTGGCGACTTCACCAGCGAACTGCCGAGCTCTACCACTCAGAAAGAGTGAAGTAATTAATTACATACATAAGTACTGTCATTAATTACATACATATTAAGACATCTGCACCTAAGAAATCACAACGCCAATAAAAAAGTCAAAAGCCTTTCTTCAAAGAAAACCAGAGCTTTGCACAGTACAATAGAAGTACTAATTAAGCAATAATAAGGTTAGTGTAATAAATTGTGTTTAAGTAGGCCGAAACAAAAAGAAATAAAAATGCAGGTCCGTACAAAAACATTAACTTTTATTTGTCTCTGAGAAGTGAAAATCCAAAAATACTAATCCTTGAAAATACCTATTACAGTTTCCCTAGGCTACCAATGCTCGTATCGAATTTAGCACATTGTACGATAAAATAGCTATTACCCTATCGACGAAGCCAAGTCTTGGATAAACTGTTACATGTTGAATCGTATATCGCAACCACTTGGTCCGATGCCAGATGCGCGCTCTTCTTTTATGCAGTAGGTGGTACTTCTTATTGGCTGATGAGGATTGACCGTACTCTTCTGCGTATACATGAAAATCAGCATCCAAGGCCGATGCCGATCTGGTATACATACGCAGATAAATTGGGGACCACTGGAGTCACGTGTTTTGGCACGCAAAACAATCAGTGGTATTAAAATATCGTAGGCTGCGCTTGAATAATTGATCAATTCAGACCAGCTCCGAATTGCGTCAACCTGTATTATTGGATGCATACCACTCAGCTATAGTTCTTATCAGCTAATTTTTTCTAACGATTTACAAAACAATCTGTCACATCAATATTTTAGAATTACATTTTTGTTGATGAGATAAAAATCAGGACCAGTTTATAATAAAATAAAATTTACTAAAAAAAACTACTATTGATTTTTCTAAATGTCTTTAAAATATAGAGATTCGCAAAATGTTAGAAGTTAAACTGATAGGAAAGAAGACCAGATAGGTGGATTAAATATAGGAGAAAAAAAGTTAAATAACGTTACAACTTTCAGATTTTTGTAGTATATATATATATATATATATATATATATATATATATATATATATATATATATATATATATATATATATATATATATATATATATATATATAATATGATGATCGAGAAAAAACGGCGTCAAAGGCGGCTGGGGAATGAC